GAATGCTTCTTTTAAGTAACTGAATTTACTTGGTATAATAGCATTTAGTTGAGATAACTTATCTCTGCTAATATATATACTGTCTGAATTATTGGGGATAAATCAGATCACCCACCATTTAATGGAAACCAGACTCATCAACCTAATAGATAAAATGCTCCTGACCTCTGCAACAGGACTCACTACTGATTTTAGAAATAATATGCAACAGTTTCAGTTTACTAAAGAAAGCATCTGCACCAGAGCAGAGTGAGCTGTGAGTAATCCCTAATGGGAGGAGGCAGGGAAGAGGATGTGGATGCCTCTCCCATCCTCCTGTTTGATGAGGATAGGCCATCCAGTGTGCGAGGGCAAAACCTCCAGGAAATACATATAATGGGAGTCACTATTAAGCCTTAATCAGCTTTGAGAGAGCATTAAGACTTGGCTCACTTTCCTTTAATTTTAGTAATTTTGGTGATAAAATTACTTGGCTCTGAACACTTCCCAACGCCTTTTTCTAAACCACATAGGGTATTGTCATGTTTTCCCTCGCAATGTTTCCATTCATTTGCACAAATTATCTCTTTTTCTGTTCTAAATGATGATAAAATAATGAAAACATACAAAGGAACCTACAGTTTCTTACATAATAATTAGATATTATATTGGAATGCACAGAATTGAAGTCTGACACGCAATAAATCTAAGACAAAACTTCAGTTAGCCTGAATAACGCCCATAAACCCAGCAGCACTCTACAGAGATATGTAGATTTCAGCATCTTCATTTTACATGGAGAAAATGGAGTACAGAGAGCAAGTATGGTCAGAACGCATCATGTCCAAGAATCCGCATCACTTTATTTCCAGGCTAATCAACACCTCTTGTAACAGTGCACCTTCTCATATTAATGCTCAGCTATACAGTAACATACACCAACAGACAGGAACTATGACCCTTAATCTACTGGGAACAGCAGCCATGCTTCTGTAAAACAACTGATTTTACATTCCTCCAGCTTATCTGCAAGTTCTGTGAAATGCTGCTCTTCTAATTAAAATATACCTCTAAGGATCAAAACGTTTTAAATTATTTTTTAAGTAACTCTTAACAATTGGTTAGAAGGGGAAAAAAAAAGGAATCAGGCTTTGGACATCAACCACACATATTTCAAAAATCAATCTTTTGCATTTACAAGTCTTCAAAAAGCCAAAGATTTTATGAGTCCTTATCTAATTTGAAAACAAATTATATTAAGCAATAAAATTTACCGAATGTAGAACAAGACCAAGAAACAGCTGGGCTAGAAGCCAGGAAATTAAGAGAAGTCTAGATACCTAGCGTCTTCTGTCCTTTGACAACATTATCTGCCCTCATAAAAGGACAGCACACAGAGGGGAAAAAAACGGACCAAGGGTACCTGACCTGCAGATACAAACCTAAAGTCTCTCCTTCCTAAACCAAACAAGCACAATAAGCCATCAAACAGCAAATCGAGGCACGCACATCAAGATTCAGAGAAAGTTTTGAGGCGTTTCAACAGTAACAAATGTTAATCTGTGACTGCTGCCCAACAATCCAGCTTCCTCCAGGTAAAACTGCTTCAGAAATACGGCCAGAGGAATCCCGCAGGCCTCTGCCACACCACAGCATTTAGCAAACAACAGGAGGAGTGACTGCTGCGATACAGGGTCAGCAGAGAGCGTTAACAAGCACCGTAGCACAAGGAGTTGCTCAAAAGCAAAAACAAACTTAGATAGAAAAGAAAGTGGTTAGTCACGAGAGATTATAATAGTCCATAGTAAACAGTCTAGTTCATCAAATAAACAAAGTAAATGCCCCATCCTAGCAGACGCTGGGGAATTTTTTTGAAAGGAAGTGAGAGCTTTCTGCTTTCAGTGAATACAATCCTACATGTTACTCTTAAGCAGTTGCTCAGGGAGAAGTTAACCCAGCGGAGCTCAGCAGGGGTGAAGCAGCCCAGCCTCCCACTGGAGCACTGAACCCCCTTAACGCACAGAAGATGAGCACAGCACTTGGCTAACAACTGCCAATCACGTACCCAACATCAAGGTGCAGAAACGCACCAGACTGACCAGTGGATTTAGAGAGACTCACAAAATAACTTCAGAATATAAGAACGCCTTCATCTCACCCTCAGACCTTACCAACACCTTTTTCTGAATAACAAATTGTCAGTGCATTGTGTTCTGGATTTCAAAAATAAAAACTCAGTGCTGCAAAGACTGCATCCTGTGAGCAGTCCCATTCAGCATGTTGAGTTATACAGGAAAAACCTCTGAAGGCTTTGGACCTATAGTTAATAACAAACAGCCACGTGCCTGTACAGTCATTTGGAAGCAGTGTCTTTTCTCCAACTCTACCAGATATAAAATTAGAAGCATTTCTAGCAGCATCTTGTCTGTTGCTTGTGAAGCAAAAGGAAAGAGACTTGCTCAAGTTCAGCTAACAGGTTTTTTCCTTTATCCTGCGTTCAACTATATGCAAGCCTGCTGAGCGCAAAAAGTCTCTGCGCTGTGCTTCAGTCAACAAGTAACGAAAGGACCAACCAAGCATAGTCTTTCAATCACAAAAGCACATATTTTTCCAGAAAAAGGTCTACAATGGACCACACGGCATGGAACTTTCAGAACAATTACCAAAAGCTGCTACTGCTGGCAGCTGCCAAGACAGACTCAATGGTGTGGCCTTATTTGGATCATAACTATCAATGCAAATAACACAAGCAAGATGCTTTGCATAGGAGAGACCACATCACATCTGCATTACTATTAAAAGTTTTCCAGTTCCATCCTTGAGACTCAGTACAACTTACTGCCATTGCAGAGATACTCATATGATACTCAAAAGAAACTCACTCATACTGCATTACTAAATTACCCATATCCCTGTTTAAACCCATACCATGCATTCTGTTCAAGGCTTGCAAACCACTGTAGCTAAACAAAACAACCACGCAGAATCAGGGCATTCAATTTTATCATCCACGGCAGTGTTACGACACACAAACTAATGAACTTTTCCAGAGTAAATACTTATTTCAGTTTAACAGTGGTAATGTCTTCTATCTGCATATTTGTTATCAAACCAGGTCAGGCAGGCACGGCAGATTTTGATGCACGCCTGAGGGAGAGAAATTAACCCAAAATTCTTTACAAATAAACCTCTGCCATATTATGCAGTCTCTGGACAGAGACTCATTACTTGCATAAACATACTTTCGCTACAGACTCTCTTCTACAAACTATCACTTCACGTTAATCATACTTCTGAAAAGCAGCACCTCTGCTCAGCATAGAATTTAATATGACAAACTAGCAGCTAATCATATCAACCATCATGAAATGCAGTTTGATAGGAAAGGCTCACAGCTTGCTTCCAGTCAGCATGACCTCTTCCAGGCTCTTTTTATAGATTCTTGCATAGATTTACTAGAAAAAACAGCAGCAACAGGATAATGAGAGACACAAGAAGTGAATAAGGGACTGACAATATTCTGACCAACAAAATATCTCCGCAAGACCCAGATCCTGCATTACACAGTACATATACTTCAAAAGTAGGCCCCTATTCCTCAGCTATCCATTGCTGCAGGGCAGCAGATTCAACAATCCAGAGTGCTCCATCCAGTCGTAGGCTCCTAATAGGTCTCTCCCTACTACCTAATGCTGGATTATGCAAAAGATCATACAGAACTGCCAAGTCAGGGCTTTGCATTATCCACACCCCCACAGAGACTGCTGCAATAAAACGTTAGCTCTGGACACACCACTCTCATTAACCCTTCCCCCTTTATGCTCCCTCAGTATTAAGACTGGGCACACACAGCTGATAACGCCAGCCTTATAGTCTCCTCATATTCACACAGCTGATGGACAAGAAAATGACACAAATTCCAGCCCTCTTCATTCACCAGTGATACTGGTACAGCCATATCTACTCAAAGATTAACTTTCAGCCTGCAGCTAAGTCACTCTTCTAAGCTAGGGGTCAACTTCATCTTAAAGATCCCTTTTGAGATGACACAGGCTCCAAGGGAGTCTTTGTGCTCTGTATGCAGAAGCTTTAATGCATTACATGGGATAACAGAGCAGGATATGAACTGATGAAACTCTACAGGACTCTACTCCAAAAGAAGGAGAACCCCTGTATTCTCGGAACACTTGCACAGATTGTCACACTCAAGGCACGTTTTCAGTACCGCCTGCTCTAATGAATCCACTTTGAAGAGGAAAAGAAGCTATATATTTATTTTGAAGTTGACTACTGCAAAAGAAACTGCTGTAACTCAGGGCAACAACCCAAATCAAAGGAACACTTCTACAAATATAGTTCCAGCTTTAAAAAGTTTGCTGAACTCTTGAAATTTATACCATCAAGCAGAATATATTTTGAAAGTCGCTGGGAAGCTGCGCTCAAATAATTGACTTCAGTGAGAGTAATTCTGACAACCTGCCTACACTTCAACCACTCTTGAAAGCGGACTGTAAACATGTAAATAAACACACATTCCTTAGGAATAACCACATTCAAACTTTCACGATAGCATTTAAAATGCTTTTAAAGAGCAAAAGAGCTTTATAGCATCTGCTGTGGTTCTACCCTCAATGACCAAGACAAAAAAAAAAAAAAAAAACAACTACCTAACGAGCACGAGCTTGCACAGAGCTCTTCACGGGCAGAACCAGACGTTCATATGGAATTTAATGCCCAGTCCAGGCTTTCCTAGGACAAAACAACTATGATCTCGTCCAAGGAGCCCCTGTGTCATACAAAGATGCAGCAGGAACATAAACACTCAGCTATGTCAACTTGTTTGAAAGATAAAGATCATTCAATTAGCTTTTCTGCACAGAATTATTTACCTCAGAGTTATCAGGGCTGCTTAGGTCAATAACTTGTCAGCATGTAAACAGACACTGCAATTTCTTTCCAGACTGTAATCAAAATAACTGTGCAGACCTTTTTCACTCTTTCATGTTCCAAATACTACTTACAGTTGTGTGATGAGAGACGCTGCCTCCAATGTTGAGGTTTTTGAGAAGCTGGGGAGATCCTCCATACTGCCCTGAGATCTGCTTCCTGACTTCCGCAGCTACAGTTCTGAAATGAGACAGTAAAAACTCTGTAAAACAATTACAATGAAGGCAATATATGAAATACTCTTTACTCTGTTGGAATAAAATCAAATACTTAGTAGACTGGTTGGAATACAAATGTTAAAGGCCTGTGAGAATGGATCATGTATATTACACTCCCGGAGAGTCATAAAATTCTTGCAAAACTACATATACATATTCCTAACAGTAATTATATGCTTTTTTCCTTTTGTGAACAAAATATATGTGACACTAGCAGGAACCAGTTTCTACCAAGAAGAGATCTCCTCCGGCACCGTCCACACCTCCCAGCAGTTTCAAGCCTGGTCACACATCTGCTCTTGTGCTCTGCTCTTTCATTTTCTTGTCTTGCCTATTTCTGTTTCTATAGACCCAGAGCTAAGCGCTGGCAGCCGCTTTCCACCCAACAGCCAACCCCAGCTCAGAGCCAGAGAAGCAGCCCTACACAGAGCAGGTTGAAATGTCTCGGGAACGACACGTGGAAAACAACTGGCCAGGTCAGAACAAAAACCTATTCCCCCCTTCATGAAGAAAAGGTAGCAGTAGTTCTATGGCGACCAGCAGAGGAGACACGCAATGCACTGACTACCAGGGCATAATGCCTCATCCTCTCCTCTAAAGAGAAATCCCACCACAGGGCAGAGCAAACCACAAATCAGTCCTACCACGCCTGCAGGGTGAAATACATACTATGCCCCTCTTGAACCAGTTTTTTATTTCCTCAATAAGCCAGTTGTCACTGGTAAGCCCTAAAACATGCAATAGTTAAGTAAACCCACCACAGGAACACCTCAGCAAAGGAAGAGCAGCAGCAGAGAGGAAAATGCCAATAGCCAAAGTCTGTCTTAACAAACAGCCATAGGTCAAACCTGAACACAACCGTTTCCAGTGCTCCATCTTGTAACATGCTGTTAAGCTGCAGTCCACCTCAGCAGTAGAGCTGAGACAACCAAGTTTGACACTGTGGTGGAAAGGTTTTTGTTTCAAAAGCAAAACCAAAGGGCAGACTCTTCCTATCAAAAAGGCATTTTGCTGAAAAGCTGCTAACCAGCTGTAGTCAACACAACTTCACCAACATGGAAATGCTCTTCTCCAGAAGTGAATACCAAATTCATCAAACCCAAATCTACTCCCAACCGTCAGTCACAGCACCGCAACATTTCGGTCTGCCGTATCTCCCAGACACAGAACAAAGTCCCTGCTCCAAAGAGTTGACAACCAATGTCTAAGACAGACGAAGAGGCTGCAAGGGGACGAAAATGGTCAGGGTGACTTTTTTCCTGCCGCATCCATGAACTCTGTGGGAGCGGGGTCATGGCTAACAGAATCACTTTTGATCTCACTCAGGAGAATGTGTTGTGTATCACCAACGTGCAGGGGCTGCTAACACCCCATCAAGTAAAGAAGGTTAAACTCCCCTGAGCAAGACCTTGATAACAGGGCAGGCTCCTAGCTTAGGGACTTCTCCAGCAGTCAACGCTGGTGGATAGGAATGAGGGCAGATGGAGACAACTGATGTCAATGGAAGAGAAGGAAACGATAAAAGGGAACTAGCTAGAACAACCAAGCCTACAATGGAGAGCAGATATTTCCTCGGGCCAGAGGATGGGAGTAAGATTAGCTAGAGGAAGCATTATTTTGTCTTTTAAAAAAGTGGACTGCAGGAGGAAAAATAAAAATGTCTCATTTGTTCTGGCTGCAAGAAGTCATTTGCTTTATGTTTGCCTTTATCCACAGGAGACTATGTTTTCACTTCTGGAGGGTGGCTTCTGAAAGCAGACCAAAAAGCTCCTGCTGGGTACGGACAACATTCAGGCTGTCTGATCGCCCTCAAAAGAACCATGTTCCCTGCTCTGTGCACCATGCACGTACACACACTCACAGACATGTTCATAGAAGAACAAGCCATGCACGGTGCTAGCATTTATAGAAAAGTTTGGAATGTATTAAAATGGCTCACTGGCATCGAAAACATTATGCAACTGCAGCTGGTGAGATGTAAAAGCTCGCCTTGGGTTGCAGACGATCTCTGCTTTAAACCTGATCTATGCCTTGGTGCACGTTTTGTGTAATTCCTGACGACACACAGAAGAGAAGCCTTTGCTGCATGGCTGGTATGAAAGATCAGAATCTACGTTTAGCCATGGAATACAACATAGGAAAAATTAAAACTCCTTCCCCAGTTTGGGAGACATATATTCTTTCCAGATGGAAAGTACAGCCAGAAGAGGAAATCTGTCCTCCACTGTGACACCACAGCTGATGTCTAGCCATCTTACTCAGTGTTGCTCCTCCTGCCATGTGCTGGCTCTTTAAAAACTTGACACGTGACTGCGATCCCATTCTTCGTAATATAGTCCCGAGCAGTTCTAGCCCTCTTCCTTCTGCGTGCTGGCCTCAGCTGGATGGCTCTGTAGTGGCTGACAGCTTCGTTGCAGTTGGAGCACAGCCTGTCCACACGTCCTTAACTCCAGCTACAATGTGCAACTTGAAGCAGAAGCAAGCTCGGCTACAACCACAGTGTTGCTTAGGCACTATAAGCTTGCATGGATGCTATTACACTGCTCAACAGGTCATCTGATGCAACAGGGGAAGAAAGATAGCAAAAAGGGTGCACCAACTAGCATGGTATCTGACCATGTACTACATGTTAATAGCTGTTCTATCTTGCTGCAATAATATTACCTGATATTAAAAACTTTCCTGAAGGACTAGCACAGAAAGTTATAGTTGAGCAGCCTCCAACTCCTTTGACCAAGATTGTAATCGTTACTTTCACCTTGCAAGCAGTCTTAAGTCTTTAACTTTGACAGTTACCCATGTTTGAAGTAACTGGCTACTGTCTGGACCTCGATGGAAATTCCTGAATAAAGTCTACAGGACCTACCCTACATGCAAAGTATTTTCAGAAATTAGTAGCATCCCCTCTCAGCCTCCCTTCTGCGAGGTAAGCAAGGGCCAGATCCTAAAATACACTTTCTGTTTCCTTGATCATCCGAAAGGGTCTTCTCTGCATTTGTTCTGGTTGGCAATCATGCCTTTTTAAGATAGCGTGCTTCATTCTGAACACTCGTTCCAGATGAGGTCTGACCAGAACACTGTAGAATCAAATGAGTATTTTCCTATCGAGAAAATACCTTACCTGACAAATTCTAGGACTTTTTATACCTTCATCACAGAGGTTCACAGTCTTCCTGCAACTGATAATATGCTTGCCTTCTCCCCCTCCATTTCCAAAAGCTGTTTGTCCATCATGAGTGCCATCTATTCACGGCAAGCAAGTTTATATTACATTATAACCCTGAACATTATTCCTATTACAACTAGAAGAGATGCCTCCTAAACCAACTTAGGTTAAAAAGTGCATTACAGCAAACCCAACCAGAAAAAAGAAATAAGTCTCAAAACATTCTCTAACTGAAAAAAATTCATTTGGCAGCACAGAACTGCCATTAAAACTCATTAAAATAAGAACCCACATCATTATAATCATCATTAAAATGATGATTATAAGGACAAATAAAAAACTGCTTCTTTAATAGCCATCTTATACTCAACATGTAATCTGGGATTATTAAACAAAGATTCCAGTTAATTATAGCCCACTGTCACATGAATGTCTGTGTTCAAAGTACATCTCTCCTAGTCACTTCCTTTCTGGTCTTCTTCACTGGTTAATTATTATGTGTTCATGTGGTTCACACATACCAAAAAAGACAAAGCATTCGAAAAAATCCCTACAGAATAGGCTTCTAAAGAAAAACAAGACCGGTCATTTTCAAAGTACTGTGAACTGCAAATAAAAATAATGCAAGCATTTGTCAGTACTTTCATGTTTCATTACTACATACAAGAACCAACTCTGATTCTCTGTGGCCTACTCTCTGCCAAAATCAAAAATCCTTCATTTTTTTAAAAAACTTAAGGAGCATTCTGAAAATATTAGTCCTTTTTGCTTTCTCAAGGAAAGACTCACTACGACCTGTCCTGCTATGTCAAGGAAGGTTATGAACTCTTCCCTGTCACAGAAAAGGTGGGTGAGGATAGAGAGTCTTGTCATCTAGAATGCAAACAGACATGACAATTTTTGCCCAAGATAAAGCTTAACAATGGTTTTCCTCTCATATTGCTATGTTAGTGCAACTCAGTTCTAATTTACTGCCAAGCAGCAATAGCTGGCACTTTTCACTTCTCCCTACACATAATGAGTTTTTCTTACATTCATTTAATAGGAGACATCTTATTCTGTCAAGCAGTTTGAAGAAGTATTTCTTTCCTATAACCCTTATTTTGAAAAGAGGCATGCAAAATGTTTGTTTCTTCCCCTCGTACTAATTTCGAAACTGTTACTCCTCTGTTTTTCATCTGCTGTTTCACATTCAGTGACTCCACATTCAGTGAGCTTTTGCCTCTTGAGCAAGACAGCCTGGTACAGTAAAGCATCTGCGCCAAGCCATAGCAAAGCAGCTTGTTCTCCCTGAACAGCAGAGAATATTGTGCTTACATCGAGTTTATTTTTTAAAGTGAAAGCATCCTTCTTCGTTCAGCTTGCTCTCTTGTGTACCATTTTGCACATCACCGGCTACATCCATCCCACTTTAGTCAAGACGCTCCCGTTTGAATTCCCATGAACAAATGCCACTGGCCACTTGCTTCTTTATTGCCTGTTGAAAAATTGCCCTCTTTTCCTGCCTGATCGGCCTGGGCTTTCCCACATGCTGAACAGATGGCTTACTCCAGATTTGAACCAGAGTGCGAGTCAACAGGTATAGAGCGCTGCTGAGGAGGGAAGCTGCGCAAGTGAGAGCTCTAGCCTTGAGCTACCGTCGGTGTAACTCTGACCTGAGTTACTGGACGTAGCCTTCCTCTTAAACCTGAAATCTTGTTTCCTTTGGAGCGAATTCATTTCCCTTTGAGTGAAACGTGTTTGATTTGCAACCAAAAGCTGAGGCAATACCCAGCCTGATCCTGACTGCTGCAGGA